TTAGGGCCCAACTGTATGACCTCACTTTACCTCTTTAAAGATCCTGTCACCAAATACATTCTGAGGTAGTGTGGGAGTTAGGATTTCAATGTATCAATTTCGAGGAAATTCAATTCAGCCCATAACAGATCCCAATATATTTTGAATTATAACTTGAATTCTTATAAACAGCAGATTCAAGAAAAGAGTATGTTTAATTAAGGCACAAATGGTATTCTTGACTACAGGACACTGATATTTCACACAGTAGTACTAAGTTACTATTCTGATTTAACAGTGTATCACTGTACATTTGATCAATGTGAATCTGCCCATGAGGGGTTTCTCTACTCTCAGGGGTCTTAACAAATCTGGATTTTGAGTCTGCAGGGTCCTGTGCCTGACTTTCTCAAAGTCATCATTTGTCTCTTGTTTCACTTCCCATTAGAAGAATCCACTACCTAAAGTACTGTACTAGTCTAGGTTCCCCAAGCCTGCCATAAATAAACACCAACATTCACCTGCTGCCACTCTATGGGGAGTACTATCTCTGAGAAACAGAAGTGAGGAAAAAAATGGAAGTGAGGCACTAGGAGAAGGGAACACAAACGCAGGTGTTACTGAGCTGGTTATAGGTGGCAACAAGTGCAGTTAATTGCTCGGTCTTTGAGGAGATTTTCATGAAGGTCTTCTGAATTACTGCACTTTAGAACAGCCTATCTGGGGGAAAGGAAGGGAGAATTTATCTGCTAGCTTCATTTTGTGCTGTATCTCCTTGTTCAAAGTTCACTCCTTAAGTAGGGTTGCCAGATTTAGAAAAAGTTAAAAAAGTCCATGCTTATAATAAAAAGTAATTTCTTGTTTGTCTGCAATTCAAATTTAACTGAGAGTCCTGTATTTTACCTGACAATCCTACTCTCAGGATATTAGCACCTAAGCATTTCCAGGCAGCAGCTGGGGAAGCCAGAACCTCCACGGACAGATCTGGTGCACAGGTACAAAGGTCAGTTTCTCCTTGTCAATGGCACCGTGTACAGGACTCATCAACATATAGCAGTGTGGCGGTGGTGGTAGTGGCAGCAGCAGCAGAAACTCCTCTTTAGGACAATAGGGTAGCGCTAGGCCACTGGCCAGGAGGCAAGGCATGAGGCAGAAGCAGTGATGGGAAGGGCATGAGGAAGAGGCAAAAGGTTTTAGGCATGGCTGCACGGATGTGGGGTAATAAAAAACATAATTTTCTATAAAAATGAGTAATGATTTATTATAAAATCTCTTTAGTATCCATCATAGACCATATTATACTAGATACTGGGGATTTAGTAGTAAATAAGATAAAATTTCTGCTACCAGGGGGTTTACAGAATAACTTGAATATTGTGTGTGTTCTGATTTAAAGATGCTTAATGAATGCTAGTAAAATGAAATAATGTAATAAAATCAATGTAAATGGAGGTTTTTCTAAATGACTACTTCAGTAAAAACAAACCAAACCCCTCCAAAACTATCACGTGTATTGCTTTCTGGATGCTTCTGAAAAGAAATAACTCAGAAAATTATTAGAAGGCCTCCATCAAATACTGGAATTATTATTCAGTAAGAAAAAAATCCACATGTATACAACATTTCAAAACAGAAGTTAAAGCATTAAATTACTTTTTATTTAAATGTTTATAAGGCAGTATGAGAATGATAGAAAACGTGTAATTTGATAGCAATATTTTGGAGATTACAGAGTTTTAGTAATTACCAATTACACAGTTAAAAAGAAGACAATATATTCCAAGCAGATACAAAATATCTAGTGAAAGATCAAGGCAAGAAAATGAGTATAACTAATTGACAATGGAAAATCAATTTTAATGTGAATTGCACATTATCCTTTAAAAGCTTTCAAAAGTAAGAATTATTGCAGTCTAGTTAATTCAGACAGTGTTAAACAGTATCAGGATAAAGAACTGTAGGGCAGAAAGGATTAATTTTCACGTCATGTAACAAACCCAGATTTACAATGGCTGAAATGCAGGAAAAAGCAGTGGAAGTAGGGAAGTAGTCAAGGTCTTTCTGGTCTCTAATCTGCCTTCCTCTTTGGGTGTGGCCTTGATCCTCTGGAGACAGCTGCCAGGGCTCCTGTTATATCCACAATGCCAGCAGCAAGATGAAGGGATGAAAAAGAACACATGCTGCCTTCCTTTGAGGAGACTTCATCTCACTGGCCAACACTCAGTCACATGTACACCTAACTGCAAGGACAGTTCGGGAATGTAATGGGCAGCAGCTTTTAAAGGAGTCAATAGGAAGACAAATTCCAGTTCCAGCTCAGTCTGAATATCTGCAAAGCTGCAAAAGATCTTTAAAGACAATTTCAAGAGAATATTTCCTTAAAGTTGGCAATTTGGAGATCATACAAAAGCATCTGCTTTTGTGATTTAATTTAGCTCATCTGGCCACTGGAAGAATCCATACAGTTTGCCTTAATTTTGGATGAATGCACGATGGAAATTCAATAATTTAGAAAGTTAAAAAAACTCAGTATGTTAGGCTGAACAAAACATTTTTAGTATATGGACAGAATCTCTGAAAATTAAGCACTGTATAATTTTCTCATACTAAAAAAAAAGTGAAGAACCCATTCATTCATGTAAAATTCACTGTTTAAAGGTAAAAACAGATTGAGTTTCCACTGAAATTATTACATTTCATTCAGGGCTAATCATTTGTACTGAATATATATCAGAATTTGTTTTACTGATTGATGAACAATTGAAGGTAGGGCATCTCATTTCATAATATAAATCTTAACACTGTGAGGTGTGTTATACTATGTATGTATCCTGCTTTAAGTCATGGATTTACAAAATAATTTCAACACATTTTAGGCTGTTTACTTATTTCAAAACAGGGATTTCATAGACTGACACAGGTATAATTAGTTCAGTGTTCACAGTATTCCTAAATAAATATTTACTTATTACCTTTATGATACTTTATTTAAAATATCACATTAGAAACTTTAAATATTTCATAAATAAATCTCTTTTTTGGGGGGAGACTCTGTACAGAATTTATTATGAAATAGCTTAATGGCAAGTGGTAATTTAGAAGAATTAAGTTATCATATTAGATAGGAGATATATGAAAATATTTTAAAATTGTGTATATTCTTGTAGCCCTTTTATACAAGTAATTTCTATAATTTGATTGTAATGAAAGTATAATATACTTTAAGTTACTATTATCAGATTAATTTTTGAAAGTAAAATTCCTTAATCAAGCCAAGGTTATGCTGCTTTATAAGAAATTAATCAGGTAGTTTAACACTAGAGCTCATTAGCCAACCTGTAGGTAGCACAAAATAATCATCTCTGATAAATACCTATAAATATATTTTATTCATACTTTTAAATATTTTACAGTTTAAATAAAAACCTTACATGTAGACAATCTGGGCTAAATTTCCATGTATATTTTGAAAAATAATGTTAGCATGAATATATTCCTATTTAAATATGATTTTAAATATTCTTAATACAGGAGACATATGAAATATTTACATAAAAGCTAAGTAGCATGATACAGCTCATGGTTATTTTCCTCATAGGAAAAAAGTTACTTGATTTTTTTTCTTTTTGCATAGGATTAAGACTGAGTATCTTTTCTACATTCTTTTAATTTTCTAAAGGGCACTTCTCAAAACACAGACCAGGTAGCAAATCTCCACTGCTCTAAGGTTCTCACCACCACTTTCTGACATCTAGCAATAGTAGAATTCAGTCCTACTTCTGAGGCCAGAAGAATGGTTCAGAAAAATAATGATTATAAAAAAATAACAATTAAGAAAAATAATCACATAGAATTAAAGCAACTAAACATCATAGTTTTGCATTTTTAGAAAAGCATTTAAACATTTAGAATTATAGTAAATATGTTACATTTATTCTAAAACTTCAAAATTATTCAGTTTTTGTAGTACTGAAAAGAAGATAGTGCCATTCGAAACAACAGATGTATCTTTTATACATTTTCACAAAAGTTTGTTTTTCATATTTTTAAAGGCCTCATTTATCTGTAACAGTGATATTTTTAGAGTATTGGCTACTTAATACATACATGCAACAATATATGCTTTAATAGTCATCTAACTTTTAGGAATATTTCATTTCGTTTCACATTAAACAGTTAAGCATAGTGTTAACTGAAATTTAAGGAACAAGAAAATACTGAAAATATGCTGTTATTTTCATTAGTTCACTATAATAGAATGTTTAGGTATTTGCCCATAAAAGTTATCATTGCCCAACTGAATTCCTACCAAGAACTAACAAGTGATTATCAAGTGGGGAGAAATATAATTAAAATAAAGAAAAGACAGAGCTCAGTTAGAAAGTACAAGATAATAAAATTCACCAAGAGGAGAACATTAGAGAATCATGAGTGAATTACCAAACTGACAATGCAGTTGTAGGAAAAGAGCCACTGGTGGGAAAGGTAGTCTCTACTAAATAAAAGTCTTTTTATTGTTGGCAGCTGGGTTCAGTAGTACTTATGTGGGTAAGTTTAGAAATGTTATAATTTCAGGAAGAGGAATGCATATAATTGTATCTTGTCTATAATTTTCTATTTTAATAAAGAAATAGCAAATGGGGGTGGGGGGAATGTAGGACATTCTACGGTTTGAGCAAAATGCAATTAAATGTGGAAGGACAGCACTGAAAAATTTTATGAATAATCTGTATAATTACATGTCTCTAGAGTAGATTTATAATTAGCCACTTACCCTAATATCCTTCATGCTTGTAAATTGCTACCTAATGAATGGTTATGCAGGCAGGAGAACTTCTCAGGAAGAAAAAAGGAGAAAACCAGGTCTACAGAGATTTTTGAAAGACTCTATGGGATCTCAGCAATTTGTTAACATTGCTAGGGCCCTTCACTGCATAGGGAGGCATATGGACTGCCACAGGTCTCCAGGCTCATGTTACAACCAAGAATAGGGTAACTGTGAATTACCCTACAAGCAGTCATAAGTTTATTATAATAATATTTTTATACAATTTTTGGATGCACCCAACCCACTCTAAAGAATGTCAGTGACTTTATACAAAAGAGGAAGCATCTAGATTGGCATTGTGAACACAATGCATAGGGCTGCGGCGGGAGCTCTAGAGCCTAGTGGTTAAAACCGTGGCCTCTGGAATATGACTACCTGGACTTGAGTGCTCACTCCACCATTTATTAACTGCATGACCTTTGGAAAATAACTTTTCTATCCTTTGGTCCCTCATATGTAAAATGAAGATAATAACTACTTATCTCACGGGGTTGTTCTAAGTATTAAATGAGATAATACAAGTAAAGTACTTAGAACCATGCCTGGCACATCACAGTCCCTCAAAGAACATCAGTATAATCCCATACCATAGCAAGTGGTGACTGTAAGGTGCGACAAAGGTCAGCTGACAGACTACTTGTGTGCAAACTTGATACTTTTGTTCTAACTATGAACTATTATACAATCCCCAGGATTGGTACTGTATTAAGAGATAGCACTTTTGGAGGCCAAATGTTACTGAATCCTCTTCCTGATCAGTATATTAATATGAAAATGAAACTGCTCTGTAACACAATAAAGAATAAAAGCTTTCATGAGGTATGTATTATCAGTATGTATTTCATGTCTCCAATATATTTTAAATATAATTTCAGGTTTAATTTGTCTTTTTAATTTGTGTCTGTTCATATAATCACATTGCTTCATATAATTAATTTCATCCTTCAAATCCTATTTTATGAGAGAAATACAGGAATGCTATCATGCACCCTTACCTAGATGCTAATATAATATGTCCTTTCTTAAAAATAACATATGATAATGCATTTCTACTTTTTAAGTTGAATATTAAAATCTTAATCTTCAGAAAAAAATGTATATCCATTAAATTATTTTAAAAGCTTAAAATTCTGCTGGTTTGCAAATTGTTTTTAAAATTGTATCTATATTATTAACTGTAAGTATTTTTGCCTGATTATGAAATATAAAGTAACAATAGGGTTACAGTTGGGCAAAACAAAACATACCTAAATTACAATAATATATTGACTAGAAAAATTCATATTGGCAAACATGACATTTGTGAAAATTAATTTGAAGAAAACTCTATCACTAATTCAGTTGAAATCTCATTTAACAAGTTTCAACCCACAATAATTTGACAGCATACTTGTAACTGAATGTGGAAGTCATAAAAATAATAGCATGAGTAGAATTTTATATGGCAGCTGTGAACACCATTTATCATCACATTACTGTGACCCTCTCTGGGGAGACATGAGGAATTGTTCCTCCAATACCTTCTTCCAGAAATTGGCTCTTTTCCCAGCCTTTTTTAATTCGTTTTAGCTTTCGGCTTATACATGGAAGGAATAAAATGATCTTACCCAGAATTACAACTGAGGGCAAAACAAGAGCAAGAACAAAGTTTGGCGGTGTATAAAATCTGTAGTACTCTTCTTCAAAAGCTCGTTTCCATCCATAAATTAAAACATGGAAAGTACTTATGAGCAGAGCGACATATCCAAGCGTAGACTTGGGCCAGGAGAGAAAGGAAAAGAAACAAAGAATAAGAAACAAATGACTGAAACCCATAAATTAAGTTCAAGATATACCATGTTTATATTTTGATAAAACTACTTTGTCTTAAATTATCAAGTTAACCTTTGTCCTCTACTGAATTAAACAATATTAATATTTTTATATATGCATTATATGTATTATTTATATGCACACCTTATGTTACACAAATGAGGCGCGATTGCATACACTTCAATATTCTTACTACTTCATTTATTTTATCAAGAACATTTTCCTCATGTCATTAAGTATGAAGATGACATTAATACTGTATAATATTCTATTGAATGGATGTGCATAATTTATTCAACCATTCCTTTTTGTTGATAATTTACTGTTTCCAATTTTCCTCAACTATAAATGTCATGTTAGGCCATTTTCCATATTTTGATTTATTTTCTTAGGACTGGTTTCTAATAGTAGGATTATTGGTCAAAACATCTAGCTTTTCCTTAAGGGTACTGATACATACTGCTAAACTCTTCTTTATAAAAATTATTCACATTTCCACCAGTTGTGTATTAAAGAAATGTGTGTGTGTATATATGTGTGTGTGTGAGTGTGTGTGTACACATACACATAAATACAGTCATGTGCCACATAAGGGCATTTTGGTCAACTATGGACTGCATATACAACAGTGGTCCCACAAGATTATATACCCTATTTTTACTGTACCTTTTCTATGTTTAGATATGTTTAGGTACACAAATATTTACCATTGTGTTACAAGTGCATATAGTATTCAGTACAGTAACATGCTGTACAGGTTTGTAGCCTGGGAGCAATAGGTCACGGTTTGTATAAATATGCTCTATGATGTTCACGTGACAAAATTGCCTCATTGCTCAGAATGTTCCCCATTGTTAGGTGACACATACCTGTTAATACATAAACAGATATATGATAAAATTAAATAAACTCATTTAAAATTATTAAAATTAATTAAATTAAATTAAAATTAAATGAGCATCCTCATGGGCACACACACACATATACACACTGGTTAATAGGCAAGTATGAAAAATCCTGCAGTATTAATATAAACAATAATTCAAATACAGAGTTTAATAAGAATACTTCAGTTAGGCACTTTACAGGTTAAATTCTAAAAGATCACCATTCTTTAGTTTGCTAAATTATTATGTTTAAGACTGCTTACTTTGAAAAATAGTCTGTTATATAAAAGTAATATTACATCCATATAATGATGTAATGTCTAACTTTACTGAGAAAATATCAACCCTCCGGCAGGCAAAATATTTGCAATTACTCATCTAAATTTATAATGATAATTTGCATCTGTCTAGAACCTTCTATTTCTTTTCAGGTATGTTTAAACTAGCTGTTGGGAAAGTACTCTCCCTTTTCTTTGAAAGGGAAAAATAAATTCAGATAAGCATTATGGCCCTGCTTTGAATGAGATTTTTACATGACCTTAAAAAAAACAAGCAAATAAGCAATGAAATGAAACAAAACTTAAGTGTACCACCAAAGGACATGAATTTGTCTACTGTGCTGTAAACCATTTGGATACAACCAGTACAGATTTTGTAAAAATACAAGAAGGGTCCATGTTTCAGTTATGTATTTTTAAAATATGCAACCTTATTATTTAGATACTATTGGAGAGGGTGAATGTTTAACTTATTAAATACAATGGTGGTTTGAAATCCCTTTACAGACATCCATACATATTAGTGTACTACTGATACACTAAATACCTGTACTAACAAAATTCTTAAGGCTGGCTGCATGTTATAATCCATTAATCTAGTTACCTAGTTTGCTACTGCTTGTGTTTGTATGTGTGTGTATATACACACACATTTCTTTAAAATATTCAGATTGACACTCCCACTTGAGTTCAAATTAATAAGATTTTTCTGGACAGATCAAGATGACTCAAAACATAAAACAATTTTTCATTAACTTGGCTAATAATAAATTGACTTTCAACATTAAATTTGATCTAAGCTCATCCTTCCCCACTTTCATTTTTTTTTTCTCTTTTAAGATAACTTTTCATTCTTAACATAGTATACTGGAAGGCAGTGCTGTCAAAGTCTTCCAGTACAATCATATACTGACTGGTGTTTCACTTACTTAACCAGAGCAGTCCTAAGCTGCCTTCCAGCATAATGTATCTAGATGCATAAATACACTCTCAAAGGCACCCTTTTTATAAGGAAAATATTTAAAATTCAGTTGTTCTTAACAAGGAAATCCTATCCTGCACAGTCCTTGACCAAACAAAACTCCACATACCTGAATAAAACTGAATTCTCTCCAGTTTAAAGCATTGCTCACTGAAGGGATAGAAGTGACTGCCAGGAGGGAAAGTAAGCCAAGGCTCATTATGCCAAAGGAGATATACATTTCAATTCTCCAAACTTCTTCCTCATTCCAAGAGTTTTCAATATTTGCGTGAACCTAACAAGAAAGCAAACGTGAACTTCCTTTGTTTAGTAGAACATTAACTGATTCAGCACAGAGTTCACTCTTGGCATAAGAAGAACCTGGTCATATATAGACATATTTAAGTTGCACTAATTCAGTCTAACAAACCATTATAGAGAACATGTTACTGGATGATACTGCTCCAGGTGTAGGGGAAAAGAGAATTAAACAAAAGGAAGACAAAACTTTCTCTTTCCTTGTATACGTGCTAGAATAAAACGGCAAAGCTTTGCCATCACATTTGTAATACATCATCATTACAGGGACTCTGGAGTCCAACACCATAAAATGCCTAGTGGTTGGTTCTAGGTTGACACAAAAGAAGTTACTGGAGTTAAACTTAGTTTCGAAGTACTCTTACAAGCTGGTTTAAACTTGGTTGAATATCTGGGATACAGTCTGGCCTTAGTTCAACTTGGATCCAGGCAGGGAATTTCTAAACTACGTCAGTATCTTCTTCCATCACATGAATAATATATCTCTGTTTTGTCTTTCTTCTCATCTTCTCTTCCTAGAAAGCTATGATTTCCCTGGCTATAACGGCCAATGGAGCTCAAATATTTCTCCACTTGAACTGCCTAATTTAATATGATTCCCAACTCTCTGACTGTGTCATTTATATGCAGTATTTTTCCAAACATCTTTTACTTACATTGATAATGTGTATATAATCAAGTCAGACAGTTAACTCTGAATTTGTGGTATTCTGTGTAGGGACTACCTTTAGAAGTTCTATTTACACTCAGAATATAATTAGAGTATAAATCAAGTATTGGACTCCATCAGCTGAAATTTTTTATTTAAATAAGTATCTATTAATGGAAAACAGATTCTAACTTAACAACAGTTTAACTTTGTTCAATTCCAGTTAACAAAACATACTTAAAATTTAACAACAACAAAAAGCTGCTTCTTAACCATTAGTTCCCTGAGGCAATCATACCATTATCTTGAAAGAGGCCCCAGAGTTCAACCTACCATCTTCTTATTTGATATCTATACAATACAGAATAACAGCATTACCCAGTGTACTCAGAGACTACAACCTGGATCTACCTGCTCTCCCAGTTCATTCATTCATCCCACAAATGGGCTGTTTGAGTGTCCACAATGTCTAGGCTCAGATCTAGGCACTGGGTGTGTATCAGTGAAAAAGATGGACAAAGATCCCTCTTCTCATGAACTTACATTCTGATGGGGGAAGGCAAACACTGGTAAATGTATTTTTAACATGGAAATCAAGTGTGTTAGAAGATGGTAAGCGTTATTTAAAAAAGAAACGTAGAGCAGGGTAAGTCGGCGGGATTTGGAATACTGGTTGGGGTGGAGGCAGCAGCATTTAAAATGGTATCCAGCGTAGGACTCACTGAAAAGGTGAGATCTGGGCAAATGACTGGAAGGAGGTAAGGAAGCCAACTGAGCAACTATAAAAGCCTTAGTATCTCATTAAGAGAAGTGTTTTTTTTTTTTTTTCCAGAAAGTGAATGGCTTAAAGGTTATCAATCTACTAATTAGAAAAATATTATTTTAGGTTTTATTGTTGAAACAAGCTTAAGTACTAGATGCCACATACTCGGACTATGATGCCTTCGATCCTTACAAAATGCACATGCTTTTACACATTTGTTTTGGTGCAATGTTCTTGGCTTTCATTGAGAAATGCTATACCAAACAGCTTCAGGGAAACCCCTTAAATTACATTTGTGGATTGGGAATTATGGAGGAAAACCATAGTCTAGCTCATCATCAAGCCCCTTCCATGAAGTGCTCCCTAAGATTTTTTTTTTTTTTTTTTTTTTGAGAGCTATGTGCTAGAAAAGCTTCACCCGTGGAACTATTATGTTTTCTGGTTTTTGATAACAAGAGCTTTGTAAATAATAGGGTCTCCTTTCTCATTGTGTTGAAAATCTCAAAGCCAAAAGAGAAGCTGTGCAGACGCTCTCAGCAGAGGTGTATTCGACTTTTTTCTCCTGATCTTGTCTTCCTGATCTGCTTTGTATTTTTACCAGTTCTAATTTTATCGTATATATTTACTGAGAGTTGCCTCATCATTTTGTGGAGCACGACCAATTATAAAACATTAAAATAATGAATTGTTGAATACTGAAAGCACTCATTGCAATTATAACATTGAAAAAAGGGGAGAACCCAACCCTCTACGTTTCTGCTTTTATTCTGTAAGGAAAAGGATGGTAGCAGCCTTTACTTGAAATAATTTTGAATTAGCCACATAATTCTTATGCGAAAACATTGTTTAAAGAACAATTCTTTCCCCTTCCATAGTATACAAAAATCAAATTTCCATTAAAAGGCATGTAAAATTTTATGTTTTATAATTTATACTAATAAAAAGTATTTTACTAGCATCAGATAAATAACCAGCATGTTCAGTACCTGCTGATAAGCCATGTTGAGAAACAAATATCTCTCTGACCTTCTCATTGGTAAGCAGAGGCTGTAGGCAACATGGACCACAGTGAAGAAAAAACTTAGTAATCCGAGCTGTTTTCTACACTGCAACCAGGTTTCCAACCAAGGCGGAAATCTCCTATACTTGGTGCCGTAATAAAGTTGATAAGCAGCTGCCAGGAGACCTGCTAGGTATACCAGGGAGAGCAAAGTAATGGCAACTATAGGTAAGGTTTTATTCACAATCTCAATAGGAATTTTGTAAAAGTCACTCTGTTGGTTTCTAGCATATGGATGAATCACATCTCTGACAAAGGAATAAAGGAAAAAAAATGTGGCCAAGCTTATAGCTACCACCACTGGCCCTCTCCAGAGAGTAAAGAGTCGTAGGGGTAAATTTTCAATCTCTCTGGCTGATGATAAGGATCCCAAGTCAACGGGAATGAAATTCAACTGGCGGGCAAGTTCAATAACCTGTTGTCGGGCTTGAATATTGTTGCTGCATATATAAACCTGTGGGAAAAATAAAAAGACTCAGCATTACCACTGTTGTTTATAAAAATGGTAGCAATCGCATACTCCACTTACGGAGCATCACCTGTGATGATACCTGAGTGATGCAAATGGTTAAAGTTCAGGAGATAAGGCATTTATGAATGTATTAACCTATTATTAATAGGTTTTAAACAGTGTCATGAGAACAAAAAAGTCCTTACCACTTATGATAACAGGACAATAAAATGCAGGAAAATGTAGCTGCAACCTCGAGTGTCAGAGGGGATCCCCCAGGTGGGAGGGGGGCAGGTGGAAAGAAAAGTGTACTCTTCTAGGCATGGTTCAGTAGCAGCAGCCGGGTAAGGCCTCCTCTCCAGGGGTTTAGGTGGACTTTGAGGTACTGGTCATGCCCCTGCCCCACTCCACCTCTCTAATTCCCACAGGGGACAGTGTGGGGCTGGCACTCCCTGCTGTCATGAACAATATGTAGTTTTAGCACTGTAGCAGTTCTGTCTAGTAGTATGAGTGCAGACACTGCCCTTTACAGATATTTAGCATGACTGGAAGTGGGCATGCACTTTGGATGGCCATCTGCGATTAAAACCTTTAAATTATGTCATGATGCTGTATTTTTTAATAAAATTTAATGAGATTTTAAATAAAATTTAGGTTTAGAAACCAATACATCAAGTATCTCAGAAAAAACCATAATAATCTCAGGTATACTATTTCATTGGTCAGTATATTAAATTCTTTCATCTCTAAATAATGATGATATACCTGGCAAGTAAAAAAATTACAAGGCTTAGTTAATTTAAATAGAAAAGCAACTGTCCTTTTCTAAGACAAAGATATTACTTTTACAGAAACTCTAATGACGTGATGGGTGGAGGCAAGGGTAGGCTTTCAAACTATCGAAATCTGTTAGATAGTACTATAATATAGTTGAAAATTCAACAAGTATTTATTGAGCCCCAAGTTCACTACTGGAGTGAGCTGCTATTACTAATGGGTAGGCCACCTCTTTCAAGGCTAGAAAAATATTGCTATAAAGTCTCTAAGTAATGTTTGGGGAAAACAAATTCCAAATATATCCCTAAAGATGTTTGTATAAGGACTCTAAAATAGACCACATGGAAATATTTGCATGTTTCTATTTATGTAATGGTGACAATATAACACTCTTTGGATTATTAATCTCAGATAACATTAGCTAGATGAATGACAAATCCTATTTGAATGAATATTATATAATCATTTATGAACTTTTAAAATAGAGGTCCTTTTATAACAGAAGTAAGAAAAAAGTATTCTAAATTAATTTATTACAGTTGTGACAATGGTGGAATAAATTTTTTTAAAAACTCATTTGGAAAAAATTTTGTATAAATTATAATATGACATAATATGATATAATAAGTCTAAAAATAAACCAAACATTCAAAATAAAGGCACAAACAGTACAAAATACAAATTTAGACTATTTTGTAGCTTATTTTGAATTTCATCACTGTTCCACATTTTTTTCTGTTAAAAATTTAAATTTGGTATAAATATGGGTATATGATTAAATTCAGGTTTGTCTCACAGGTCCTGGTTCTAATTTGCTTATTCTATATCTACTGCTAAACTTTGGTGGATATGCAAAAGAAAAAAAAGATTCAGAAATAGCCTGTAGAAAAGCATATGTTCTTTTACTAGTCATTAAAACAAAGACTGGAAAGTAAATGGTTATCATGACTCTGATATACAGCATACAATGATATAATACTTAAACTTATTTTCTAAGAAATCGAATCAACTGTCTTTACGGACAAAAACAATAAAAGTGTTTTATAATCATGCTTAATGATAATGCATAAGAACATTTAAAAATTTTTTTTAACATATTTTATGTGTTTACTTATAAAAGCTCATTCCACAATGGTGTTGACCGAGCTCCCCATCTGCTTTATTCTCAAGTTGAACTGGATGAAGTTCACATTATTTTCCCAGATTTCCATATCATTTTGGGAATGGGAATGTGCCCTTACAAGGTCAGGACATTAATTTTCAGGTGCTCATAATTAATTTTCAAATGATAATCATTGGAAAGTGTCAGAATTTGGTTTTAAAATGTTTGATATTTGCTTAGCTGTTTAACTACAAAATACCAGATACATAAGAATAAAAATGTAAAATACATACCTGCCGGCTGGCATCCTTAGGTCCTAACTGAAGTGCCCAAGCTGAGACAACATTAAATCCTTTGACAATCAAAGAATCTGGGAATAATGACGCCAAATATTCAGCATTGGATTCTGGGTACTGGTTTATCCTCATGTTATTGCTCACATCAATCAGGATTTTACCCACAAGCAGATGTCTTAGGTCCCACAGGGAGGTATAATGTTCTCTATGTATAGCAACAAATATTATATTTGTTTTTGTGAGAGCATCTTCATGATGGGTGACATCTACCACATGAGGAAAAAATTCAGAAGCAAACTTAGGATTTCTACTTCCTATGACCACATGATAGCCACATCTAATAAGTCGAATCGTCAAGGATTTGGCAAAATCTCCACTTCCAATCACACCTACAGTGACTTTCCTTGCATCTTTGATACCATTTATGCCATTAGGTAAAAAAGTTTCACTAAGGCTCTTAGGGCTTCCCATCATAGAGATTGATTCCATGATACAGACACTTCCAAGATCACCAAAAATATCCTAGGGGAGAGAAAATAAAATGTTCATCAGTTACCTATTACTGAACATTAAAACACTTCTAGACATTGTAATAATGTGTATTTCTAGAGGTAAAATATTTCACCACACTTTAACATAGAGCACAGTAAGACACAATTTGTAAACTAAAAAAGGATCACTATTCTGGTTTCTCTTCATATCATATAAATCTTTCGTTTTTTAAAAAAGCATCTCAATAGGAAAATTAACTGTCACAAAGGTGATGTGCTAAAGTGGGGCTTCTCAAATTTTAATGTACACACAGATCACTTGGGAATCTCGTTAAAATATAGATTCTGATCGAGTAGGTCTGGAGGGAGGCGCGACATTCTGCATTTCTAATGAAAGCAATACCAGTGCTGGTCTGAGGACCCCTCTTTGAGCAGCAAGGCACTAGTGACGCAGGACAGGAAAGTCCCCAAATTGGGGTTTAGCTCAGGAGGGTACTTAGCATTGCCTGGGAAAGAATTACAGGACAAGCTGGTGGTGTTAAACAGCAATGTTTACTGAAGCAGCAGTTTACAGCAGCAGCAGAGGTACTGCTCCTTACAGAGTAGGCCTACCCCGTAGGCAGTGTGCCTAGAGTAGCAGTTCAGCGGCAGCTCTGCACTCATATTTAAACCTAATTTATTTATATGCAAATTAAGGGGTGATTTATGCAGAAATTTCTAGGATGAGGGTTGTAACTTCTGGGTTGTTGGGCTGTTGCCATGGAAAGGGGTGGTAACTTCTGGGCATTGCCATGGCAGTAGTAAACTGACATGGCACACTGGTGGGCATGTCTTATGGGGAGGTGCTTCTGCCCTGACCTCAGTTTGGTCCAGTGTCTGAACCTTGCCTCTGGAGTCAAGATCTGCCTCCTACCTCACTAGAGCACATGAGAAAAGGGACTGAGGTTTTCACTCAGAACTTTTTTGAAAAACACACTTGTAACAAGCATGATTACCCAGCTTCTGAGCAGATCAGAGGCAGCAAATCACAAATGCTGCTAGAGGCAGAGAGGACTGCGATACTAAGTGATGGATCACAAGACAAGAGAAAAAAGAAAAACCATTTTTTAAAAAGCCATTTAAACCAAAACTGTCTAGAGTCATTTGAGGTGGAGGTTATAAAGTTCCCTATATACTTCAGTAGCTAGTGACTATCATTAAATGAGAGCTAGATAAATCAGCTAACAATGAACCCTGGCACTTAAATAATATCTTAAGAAAAATAGGCATCAAAATGTAACAAAAGAGTAAATACCATGGACTTCTCTATCATTCGCTCTAGATCTTACAATGTATCATTGAGAAAGATAGCTTACCTATGGAAAAAGGGATTAGTAATATGCTTATGGTCTTAAATTATATAATATTTATGAAATCTTTTTCTTTTTCTTCCCCTTTGTAAGAAACATGGCGGTGCTTTGGTCAAGGACAGGCAGAGGTAAGCATCCAGAGTGAGTTTACAGCACAGGCATATAACTTCACTTGTTATCATAGCCATGTAGACATAACAGAGAAGCTCACCACTATTGTCTGTAAAAGGTATAATTGCCCTGCTGACACTGTACAGGCACGCTTGTGCCCAGAGAAAGAGAGAGTCAGAGCTGTCTGTCTTTGCAGACGGACAGGGGGAGCCAGGACACAGCTTGGCTTGCCCATGCCCAGAGAGAGAAACTGAAATAGTTAAGGTGCTGACTCCAAAGGCAAGGGAGAGCAGGCCCCGCAGCTGTGTGTGGGAGCCACCAGACTAAGCAGCCAAGACAGGATGGACAGTGTGAGAAACTTGTTGATGAGAGTTGCTGTTGAATAAAATCATCTTTCACCTGCCTACAGCCGTTGGAGTATTCTTTCTGCTTATCCACCCACGCCCTTTGGACCTCAACATGACGCCGTTTTGTTGGCTGCATAAACTATGATGCAGTTATTCTTCCTGGAAAAATCTCTCAAGTTATTTTTTAGTTGAGAGACTAACATCTGAAATGTTCATATTTGGAATAATTTGCTCAAGAATACAAATCAGGTTGCCATGAATTAGTGTCAAAATTGGGTCTGAAAGAAAAATACTCTTCCATTCTACCCTCATTGCACAATTTCTTTTATGCTCATAGCAGATGTGGACCACTTCAGAGGATTTAATGGACTTTACAGGCACAGGTGGAATGTTTCAAAAATATGTTGGTTTACTAAATGAAATTTGAAATGACTAGAGCCAGGAAAATTCAACTTTTTACCCTAGAAATGAGTCACATCCAGTAACTCAAAATACATCAGTATGTTAAACTTTAGAAAGACAATAATTATAGTAATATTACTTAATGTTTATATAGGACATAATGTATTTCAGCTCTCTTGTGGTTTTTACGTATTAACTGATTGAATCCCCACAACTACCCTAAGAGACAGGTGCTAATACTGTCACACCCACTTTGTAGATGAGGAAACTGAGACCTGCAGAAGATAATTAATTTATCCAAGGACATAAAGACAGAAAACAGGGGAGCCAGGATTTGAACCCAGGTAGTCAGTCCAGCTGAGACATGTGTTATTCAGGTGTACGTATGGAGTTTAGGAAAGGGTGTTTTCTCGGGGTTATAAGTATCAAGGTGTAACAATTATAGTTGTACTCAAATTAGTATGTTATTCCTTTTTCTTTGGTCATTTCATTCCTCCTCAGCGTTACCTAGGAGTAACCAATCCTGGGAAAGAAGAACTTTTACTATTTTTAAATCAATTACATGTTTCATTTCACACCTTTCAAGACAGACCACTCCCTTGGCGTGGTCCATGCACCCAGAAGGGCAGGCAGGAGTCAGAGGTACCAGGGTAGGAAAAAAACTGTCAATATCCATTTGGAGATGTCACTGGCAATGTTGGGAATCAAGAGCGGTTAAAGAAACCAGAAGTAATGAAATCCATGCTCACTTCATTCAAAAGTTAATGGTAATCATGTGCATTATCTAAGGGTAAAAAAGGTTGCTAGATTCACACAAGGGAATCCAAGTTTCCTATATCCCAGCCCAGAGTTCTTCTGAGTATATACCGTAGCATCTCCCAAAATATAAGAATTGCAAAATCTTTAAATCTAACAATCATGATGATCAAGACTTTTTCAAACAGAAACAAAAACAAAACAACATTAATTATCTGTTTATTTCACAAAGCAAGCTCAAACCCCTTCTGTAAATCAGAATGTGAACAGGTAAAAATTTTAGTTTGCTGGGGGTTCCTTTATAGTTGACTAGTCTTTCTTCTCTTGCGGTTTTTAGAATTCACTCTTTGTCTTTTACTTTTGACAATATGGCTATAATGTGCTGTGGGGAAGACCTTTTTGTATTGTATCTTTTTGGAGATCTCTCTAAGTTACCTGTATCTAGGTGTCTACATCTCTCACTAGACTTGGGAAGTTTTCATTGTTGAATAACTTCGAATGCAAATGGATTAAATTTTCCACTTAAAAGATATAGACTAGCAATAGATAAAAAATCATGACCCAACTGTATGCTGGGTACAAGAAACCCATCTAACCTATAAAAACACATATAAGACTGAAAGCAAAGGGATGGAGAAAGATATTCCACGCAAATGGAAACCAAAAGTCACTATACTTATATGAAATAAAACAGAGTTTGAGTCAAAAACAGTATAAAGAGACAATGAAGGTCATTAAATAATGATAATGGATCAATTCTAGCCAGAGGATATCACAATTCTAAACATATATACACCCAACAACAGACCACTCAGATATATTAATATAAATAAAATGTTATCAGATCTAAAAGGAGAGACAGACTCCAATACAACAACGGTTGGGGACTTCAACACCCCCTGCCAGCATCTGACAGATAATCTAGACAGAAAATTAACAAAGAAACATTAGATTTAAACTATACGTTAGAACAAATGGACCTAACAAACATTCACAGAACATTTTATAAAACACTTACAGAATACAAATTCTCATCAGCACATGGACATTCTCTAAGAATGACCATGTTAGAACACAAAATAAGACTTGACAAATTTTTAAAAAATCAAAGTCATATCAAGTATTTCCTCAGACCACAATGGAATAAAACTAGAAGTCAGTAACATGAGGACCTTTTGAAACTGTAAAAATAAATGATTAAACAACATGCTTCTAAATGACTATGGTGGCAAAGAATAAATTAAGGAAGAAATCAAAAAATTTCCCTCAACAAATACAAATAAAAATGCAACACACCAAAACCTATGAGATACAGCAAAAGCAGTGCTAAGATGGAAGTTTATAGCAATAAGCACCTATACCAAAAAATCATAACAATTTCAAATAAACAACGTAATAATGTACCTCAAGGAACTAGAAAAGCAAAAACAAGCCAAACCCCATATTGGTAAAAGGAAAGTAATAATAAAGATCCGAGCAGAACTAGACAAATTGGGACTTAAAAAACAACACAAAGGATGGATGAAACAAAAAGTTTTGTTTTTTGAAAAGATAAAATCGATAAAGCACTTGCTAGACTAACCAAGAAAAAAAGAGGAAATACTCCAATAAAAAATCAGAAATGGAAAAGGAAACATTACAATTGATACCACAGAAATACATAAGATCGTGAGAAGTTATTATGAACAACTACACACCAACAAACTGGAAAACCTAGAGGAAATGGATAAATTGCTACACACATACAACCTACCAAGATTGAAACGGGTAGAAACGGAAAACCTGGACAGACCAATAACAAAAAAGTTGAGGCAGTAATTTAAAAACTCCCAATAAAGAAAAGTCCAGGGCCACATGGCTTCACTGCTGAATTCTACCAAACTTTCAAAATAGACCTAACACCAATTCTCTTCAAATTATTCCGAAACATTGAACAGTAGGGAATTCTGCCTAACGCATTCTATGAGATCAGCATTAGCTTCATACCAAATGCAAACAAGCCTCAACAAAAAAGAAAACTACACACTAATATTCCTGATGAGCACAAATACAAAAATTCTCAATAAAATACTAGCAAACCAAGGGCCAGACATGATGGCTCATGCCTGTAATCCCAGCACTTTGGGAGGCCAATGCAGGAGGATCGATTGAAGCTAGGAGTTTAAGCCCAGCCTGGGCAACATAATGAGACCCTCATCTCTACAAAAAATTTAAAAATTAGCTAGGCGTAGTGGCACACACCTGAAGTCCTAGCTACTCGGGAGCTGAGGCAGGAGAATCACTTGAGCCCAGAAGTTGAAGGCTGCAGTGATTTATGATTACATAACTGCACTCCCTCCTGGGCAACAGAGCAAGACCCTGTCTCCTAAAAAGTGTGTGTGTGTGTGTGTGTGTGTGTGTGTGTCTGTAGAAGTAAACCAAATCTAACAACTCATAAAAAAAACACATCATGATCAAAGGGGATTTATTCCAGGGACACATCCCAAGGATACAAGGATGGTTCAACATATGCAAATCAATAACTGTGATACATCACCTAAAGAGAATGAAGGACAATAACCATATGATCATCTCAATAGATGCAGAAAAAGCATTTGAGAAAATTTAGCATCCCCTCATGATAAAACTTTCAACAAACTAGGCATAGAAAAAATATGCTTCAACATAATAAGGGCTTATATGATCTATATAATAATAATAATAGCTATCATTATTTTGAAATAGGGAAAAGCTCAAAGCCTTTCCCCTATGAACAGAAATAAGACAAGGATGCCACTTTCACCACTTCTAATCAACATCGTATTGGAAGTCCTAGCCAGAGCAACCAGGAAAGAGAGAATAAAAGGTACCCAAATTGGAAAACAGGAAGGTCAAATTGTCCCTCTTTGCTGATGATACGATCTTAGATCTAGATACACCTAAAGATTTCACAAAAAAACTCTTAGATCTGATAAATAAATTCAATAAAGTTGCAGGATACAAAATCGACATACAAAAATCAGTACCATTTCTATACACCAACGATGAACTTGCTGAAAAGGACACCAAGAAGGCAATCCCATTTACGATAGCTATTAAAAACGAAACAAAACAAAACAAAAAACTAGGAATATATTTAACCAAGGAGGTGAAAGTTTGCTACAAGGAAAACTACAAAGCACTGTAGAAAGAAATTAAAGATGATATAAACAAATGGAAAAACATTGCATGCTTATGGATTGGAAGAATTAATATCATTAAAATGGCCATACTGCCAAAAGCAATATACAGATTCAATGCAATCCCTATCAAAATACCAATGTCATTTTTCATAGAATTAGAAAAAGCAATCCTAAAATTCATATAGAACCAAAAAATATTCTGAATAGCTACAGCAATCCCAAGCAAAAAGAACAAAGCTGAAGGCATCACACTACCTGACTTCAAAATGTGTTACAAGGCAATAGTAACCGAAAAAACATGGCACTGGTATAAAAACAGACACACAGACCAATGAATGCAACAGATTAAGAGAATCCACAAAAGAAAAAAAAAATCCACACATTTACAGCCAACTGATTGTCAACAAAGGCACCAGGAATATACACTGGGGAAAGGATATCTTCTTCAAATACATGGTACTTGGAGAACTGGATATCTGTATGCAGAAGAATAAAACTGGACTCCTGTCCCTCACCATATAAAAAATCAACTCAAGGTCAACTAGAGACTTAAACATAGGACCCAAAACTATATAATTTCAAGAAGAAAACATTGGGGAAATATTTGAAGACACTGGTCTAGGCAAAGATTTTTTGGCTAGGACCTCAAAAGCACAGCAACAACAACAACAAAATAGACAAATGGGACTATATTAAACTAAAAGACTTCTGTGCAGCAGAGGAAACATCAACAGAATGAAGAGACAACCTATTGAATAGGAGAAAATATTTGCAAACGATTAATCTGACAAGGGACTAATATCCAGAATATACAATGAACTAAAAAACTCAACAATAAAAAACAAATAATCCCATAAACATGGGTAAAGGTCATGAATAGACATTTTTCTGAAGAAGACAAACAAATGGTCAACAGGTATATGAAAAAATACTCAGCATCACTAATCACCAGGGAAATGCATATCAAAACCACAATGAGATTTCAATTTATCCCAATTAGAACTGCTATTATTAAAAGACAAAAACAACAGATGCTGACAAGGATTCAGAGAAAAGGGAACCCTTATACGCTGTTGGTGGAAATGTAAATTAGTATAGCCACTGTGGACAACAGTATGGGGGTTGTTTCTCAAAAGACTAAAAATAGAACTACCATACAATCCAGTAATCTCACTACTGGGTATTATCCACAGGAAAAGAAATTAGTATATCAAAGAGATACCTATCCTCAGGGTTTTTTGTTTGTTTGTTTGTTTTTTTCTTTGCGCACTATTCACACTAGCAAAGATACGGAATCAATCTACATGTCCATCAACAAAAGGATAAAGAAAATGTGTTATGTATACACAATGAAATATTATTCAGCCTTAAAAAAATGAAATCACGTCATTTGCAGCAACATGGATAGGAGTGGAGGCCACTATGTTAAGTGAAATAACCCAGGCACAGAAAGGCAAATACCGCATGTTTTCACTCGTGTGTGGGAGCTAAAAAAGTGGATCCCATGGAGGTAAAGATTAGCATAAGAGACATCAGAGGCTGGAAGGATGTGTTGATGGGAGGAGGGGATGAAGAGATGTTGGTTCATGGATACAAATGTACAGTTAGAAGAAATAAGTTCTAATGTTCAATAGCAAAGTAGGTTGCCTATAGTTAGTAACAATGTACTGTGTGTTTCAAAGTGGCCAGACGAGATGACTTGAAATGTTCTTAACACATAGACATGATAAGTACTCAAGGTGATGAATTCCCCCCAAATCCCAACCAGATCATTACACATTGTATGGATATGACAAATACTCATGTGTACCCCATAAATATGTAACATGTATCAATTTGTCTTAAAAGTTAGTGTAAGCAGGCTTCTTCAAGAAATAAATCCTACTTCCCTCAAGGTTCTGAAAATCCTACTGGCCAGTGAGTGTGACCTGAATATTGCTGACCTGGCTTGGCACTATGCTTATGGTAGCGAGGGAGAGTCACACTGTTTTGGCACATGGAGAAGCAGAACTGCAATCTCAGAGTTGCTTCTGAATGTAGCTACTGAAGCAGTGTTTCTCAACCCTAGGTGCATGCTCTAATGATCCAGGGAGTTTTAAAACACAGTGATCACAGGTCACCCCCACCATCCACTTTTCGTTTAATTGGTCTGGGGTTCATCCTAAGCCACAACATTTTTAAAAAAAGATTAGCAGATGTTTTATTATGCAACCAAGATTGAAAATCACTCTACTAAAAGATTCAGAATTAAATCTAATACTTATTCTAATAATCATTTGGCGATAGTAGATGTGGCTTTTTGACCTTCACTTATGTTAATGTTTACATTGTTGTTTGTAGTAATGAAAAATTACAATTGTGAAAGAGTAGCAAGCAGTTACCTTTGAATACAGGACGCTGAATACGCATGCAGTTCTTTCCCCTTTTCCACTCAAGGAGGAGCAGTATCAGAAGGTCCACTCACTATTTTGCAATTTCCTCTCTCCACTTTCTGGGAAGGGCAATGCCATTCCTTAAAATGCGTCACTCCTTGCACAGCACACTTTGTTCCTGTTGTTTCATAATATTCAAAATTCAGAATATTTCTATGACTATATCTCTTCTTTCTGTTCTATAAGGGGATCCCCTCCCCGGTTCTCCAGACATCACGATCCTGCTGACCTGAGCAGACCGGTGTTTCTAAGGGAATGACTCACTTGTCAAACTTTAATGCAAATATTATCACCTGGGGATCTTTTTTAAATGCACACTAAGATTCTCTAGGTCTAGAGGGAGGTTAGACATTCTGCATTTCTCACAAGCTCCCAGGTGATGCCCATAGTGTCTCTACCTTTTCTTTTGATGTTATTCGTAAGGAATCCAAATTAAATAACTGATAAAACTGTCATTTATAGGCTTGGTGTGGTGGCTCACGCCTGTACTCCCAGCAGTTTGGGAGGCCAAGGCAGGTGGATCACTTGAGGTTAGGAGTTCGAGATCAGACTGGCCAACACGATGAAACCCCGTCTTTACTAAAAATGCACAAAAATTAGCCAGGGGTGGTGGCAGGTGCCCAGCTACTTGGGAGGCTGAGGAAGGAGAATCGCTTGAACCAGGGAAGCAGAGGTTGCAGTGAGCTGAGATCGCACCACTGGACTCCAGCCTGGGCAACAGAGTGAGACTCAGCCTCAAAACAAAAACAAAAACAAACAGAAACAAAAAACAACTATGTCATTTATAGAAAGTTGTGTTTTCATGGTGTAGGGGTAAAAGAGCAGGCCTAAGTTTCTGCAATCACTTTGATCCTTTGAGTCTCGATTTCCTTTGTTAAACGGCAAACAAATAGGTTATACTTGACTCTGGTGGTAGTTTCCAACACTAAATAAGTCTTGAAGCTGTGTGATAATGGTAATATCACCACCCTATATTTAACACTTCAACTTCGGGAGCTCAATCTAAAAGTGTGTGTCAAGGACATAGTTTTCTTGAATGAGCATTTGACTTGCTGTACACATTTAATACTTGAGAATGTATTATTCTGATAGGGAATTCAGTTACACTCAGCTAAACAGCCTCTTAAGGTTTTCAGTTTAGAAGGATTTCCTGAACATTCCTGAAGCTGAATGGCAGCTGTTGTGCTATGTTAATTTTGAAAAATAGAACCTAATTTGTTTCACACATAAATAGGACATTTATTATTGGATGACAGCAACTCTGAAAGGGCTGTCCGCAGAGGTTTTGATGATATTTCACAACCTGCTGATTTGGAGAGGCCATCAAGAAAACATAACTCTCCAGGGTCATGAGGTGGGGGTGGCGTAACCTTCCCTTTGTGGGCCCACATCTGAACATCTCTTCTTCATCGTCTCTCCTGCAAACACCCACTCATGGTACTTCACCATACCCTCTCCCTGTCCTTAATGCTGTCCTCACTGCTGTCCTCTACTGACTTCTAGTTTATTCCTTATGACTGCAGACTCTGGCTCCCAGCATACACATGGTCATCCTCTCTACCCCAATAACCATCATGTTTTTCCTGGACTTTATCATTCAAGTGGATGAACCATTCAACTTCAGGGGCTATTTCCTTGACTTATTCATTGGAGGTAATGAATTTTTGCCTCTACCCCACCTCAGTCATTCACTTCCTGAAATCTCCAAGCACTATCTAATTCTGCAGGACTTCCAATAATCTTAGTTTAAATATCCACACTGATAATTCTAGACAGCAAAAGAAATCTGATCTGTTGACCTCGACCTCTCTAATTGCTTAATATCCTGTACTCTCCATCAGCCTACTCTGGTATCTCTTTAAACTGAGACTAGATTTACAGTCACTCCCTTGAAAAGATCCTTAACTCTCTTACTCTCCATCATATCTGCTTGGCAAAACTCTAGTCCTGGAAGAACCCAGCTATCCATTTTCTCTGTATCTGTATCCACGTTGGTGAAGGTTGCTGGAGAAAAACCAGAAAACTGAGCTCATTAGTTTCACCTTAAATTAACAATCACCAACTTTACCTATCAAAGACCAGTCTATCCACTTATGTCCTGGAGAGCCTCCCTTTTTTGCCTCCCCAGGGGATATGGTTATGACCTCTTTCTGTGACATCTCAAACTTCACAGGTTCAAACCTGAACTTTTTCCACCCAGACCTGGTCCCATTTGCCTGGAAATGTGTAAATGTCACCATTACCCACCAGTTGCTCCAATCAGAAAATTGTGAGTCATTCTTGAGTCCTTGCTGTCTCTCAGTTTTGACATAAAATCCTGCACCAACTCTTGTTCTCCAACATATTTCATAAATCCCTCTCCACCAATACCAGGCTAGTTCAGGTTTCTATCATCTCACCTGGACTCTGCAAACATTTCCTAATGGGTCAGCCTACTTTCTCTTTGGACCCTTTCCAAACCATCTCCACAGCAGCTAAGATCATCTTAAAATGTAAATCATCATAAAAAGTCTCTCCTTAAAATCAGTGCTCCTTTACTTAGAACTACAGCCACCTTCCTATCACATAAAAGGTCCCGAATGAGTTTGCCCCCGCTTCCCCTCTCTAACCTTAATCTGTATTGTTCACCCACAGCATCCTCTTCTAGAAGGAGAAAAGAACAATCACTTTATGTACCTTGGGAACTTTTCATATACTGTTCCATCTCTATAGCAGAATAATTCACTCAGCCCTTGTTAAATTTATTTTGTAATATTTTATATAATTGTTTCTTTTCTGTTTACTATTTCTCTCATTGAACAATAAGCTGCATGAGGGAAGAACCATGTTTGTCTTGTCCGTGATCACTGCCTCCACATTGTCTGGCAGTGTAACTTAGGATGCCATAAAAATTCTTTGTTATGTAATGCATCAAAAAAATTCAGGACAAAAAGTGAATAATTCTCTAGATCAGACTTCTCTTTTTGTTGAAAAGACATGTGGGCCCTGAAGGGGTAGGTGATTTATCAATGTTGATATTATGTTATGTTAAATGTTATGTTATGTTAAATATTATGTTAAATATTATGTTATGTTAAATGTTATGTTAAAGTCTCAGTTACCTCAACGTCCTGGTTTCTGGCCCAGCAGGAATAAATACATCTCCTGATGTCCTATGTCCTCTATCACACCTGCAGTCTTACTCTTTCGCATTTTTGATGTATCCTCTTTCTCACTTTTCTAACTCATTTACAATCCTTTCTTTAAAAATTTGTCTTCACCTGTCCTGTTTTTTTTCAGCATTAAAATACAACTATGCTCATTCACCACATTTTCCATAGCACCAGTACAATAAAAAGTGACTTGGATAAAGCTTTTCATTTCCTTACTGCAAATTTGCTCAAGTTATCATTCTCAACATTGTCTCATTTCCCCACACCCTGACAGAGTGACTAGCTAAGAGGCAGAAAGTGCAGCTACCCCAATGGCAGCATATACAGTTACTCTTATGTTTCTAAACATCCTGCAAATTATTTAGGACGGGTGTTTTGTTTTGTTTTGTTTTTCCATTAAATAGCCTCAAGCTTTGAAGCAACCGAGAGAGAATCGGAGTAAAAAAAATTATAGGATTAAAGAAAGAAAAAATAAACAGAGATCAATAAAATGAAGAAATAATAAAGTGGAGAAAAGGAAGGATGGGGAGGTGCTTTAGAAAACAAAAACAGTTCCAAACAGCGGGGCTGTTAAAAGGACTAGAATCTAAGTCAGGAGGTTGGGGGTGGGGGTGGGGCAGGAGTCTGAATTCTGTTTCTCCTATAGTGATGAGCGACAATTAACTATGGCCTGGACTGTCTTTCCATCTAAAAAACTAACTGCCCGAGGAGTAAAAACTGACACCAATCCTTCTCCACGGGGTGGCAGAGATAATAAATGGAAATCTCCCAACAAAAATGCTCTTTATCTCTCTGCTCTATTTTAAGAGCAAGATTTTTAGGGCATAATTTTCAACAAGTTTTGGCTGAGGCTGAACACAGGGCTCAAAGATAATTTAGGACAGTCAAAGAAGAGGCCAATTACTTTCCAACAGAAATGGCCTAAACACACCACGATTACATTACTCGGAAATAAACAAAATGACTGCTAGAAATACCTGTTCGCAAGCAGCACTGCACGATCTTCCATGAAATTCCCTGCATCAACCCAAAGTAGCAGGGAGACTATCAAGGGGGCGAAAGTAACCTGTCTGTCCTTTCCTGCTGGGACCCATCCTACCTGGGACAATGTCCCCTGGCCTTCTTTCTCCTGGGCCCAACCTCTAGGACTTGCCCTTAGCTCTAGGAGACCAAGAGGAGGAGGAGGGGGAATCAGTGGAACAGACACCCTTCTCCACCCTTCTCACTTTCCACCTCAAGGTGCCAGGAGATCAGGGACCCCGCAGCTCAGGGCGGACGCCCGCTGAGGGCGCGGAATCGGGGAGAATGGATGCAGCTCGTGGCGCCGACTGCATCTTGACCCTCAACTCCGCCGCCGCCACCTCCTTTCACGCTCCTCCCCGACCCGCTCACCTCCTCGCCCCCCGCGCCCTCCACGCCGGGCAGGGGCGAGCCTTGCAGCTCCCCGGGAGCGGCGCCGACTCCCCAGGGCCCACCCGGGGGCCAGGGCCTACGGACTGCACCTCCGACTGGCGGCTGCAGGGTGGCTGCGGCTGCGGTCCCGCTCCAGCTGCTTCCCCGCCTACCCAAGCTGGATCGTGTACAGCCAGGGAAGAGGCAGGAGGGAGGCGCGCGGAGGCCGGCTTGGCAGTGACGCGCCGCTAGGGGCTGCGCTTCTGGACAGCTCGTGGCACCCAGGGCCCAAGGAACGCCGACAGGAGTCGGGAAGAGCAGTGGAGAGCCGGGGAGGAGTCGGGGAGCTCGGAGGGGGCGGGGGTGTGTTGGGGGAGCTGGGGAGGGCCCAGAGCACCGAGAGGGAGCCAGCAGTGAGTGTACTAGGGAGCCGCACACACACGGCTCGGCAGCTTTGCGCACCCCTCTATCGGGAGCGGCTGAGTATCCTCCTGGCTCGCCTGCAGGGTTCCTCCCTGGTCTTCAGGAGATTCTGAAGCAGCTCTAGAAGAGTAAAGCCCATTTTTCTACTCCGTTTCTTTTTGTAATGTGGGGTCACCTTTCCGCTCTAGAAATTGCTTTTCTGACGCGATTCCTACCCCAACTCTCGCCAAAGGGCCCTGGTTCCCACTTCCCCAGTCTTAGCTTCTGACAAGCCTCCAAGAAACTGCGCTTTTTTCTTTTGTAGGTGTTCTTTTGCCCCATGTTTGCCCCACCCCAAACGTCTTTTGACTAGACTGTGTCCTTGGAATAAAATGTTGCGAAATACCCTTTCATGAACACTCCCTCGGATAGGAGGACCCTCACAGACCATGAACTGCAGAGATTATTCTGTTGACTTTGACCTTCACTCTAGCTGGTGCCCCGCGAGCTTTGGTGTGGGGGAAAGGAAGGGTAGGCCTTGAGTCAGGAGACCTGTGTTCCTGCGAAAGCCACTTACCTTCTGGGGCAGCTGTGGCTTTGAATGTTTCAGGGAATCCCCTGAGAGCACCTTTGGCTCTGGGTTTCTGTACATTTTCTCCCTGCAGATTACCAAGTAAAAGTACCTTTTATCTTTTGTGTAAAAGTTGTTAGCAGAAGAAGCAAGAAATCTTTATTCCCAAATGTAAAATCAATTTACCAAAAATTCTGCAATTTGGGGAAATTTTTTTTCTTACATTAGTAAAGTACCATTTCAACAAATTAGGTTTAAAAATTATCCCTCTAGGTGGTTTATTAACCAGACAAACAGTAACAACAGCAACAACAAGGAGAGGGGGTCTTAGATCGATCACTGGGGCACTGCACTTTCCCCTTTGTAGTCCATACACAGATTAACCTTTGCAAATGCTGCTTTGGAAATACATCCTTTGTTTGACTTGAAATGTAACCCCTCCCCTACCACCAAATATTATTAAGGTTTAAAGTTTAGGCAGAAGCTAAGGTTTTAACGATGTGTCAGAGTGTGGAACCATCGACAGCTGGTAGAATACTTTCCATTTTGGTTACTGGAAACAAGTCATTAAATCTAATATCAATTTTAATAATTTCGCTTCAACAAAACTGTCAAATAATGAGATTCATGGAGTTTTTTCTAGTAGTTCTTCTGGAGAACTTGCGGAGAAAATTCATGAATCTTAGCAGTTAACGAAAAGTATATAGCTTTTCCATATATTTTTAAAAGCCATAGAATTATATAACTTCCCCACAGGGTTATTAAAACGAATTGCACTTTCTAACTTCTACAACCATAAATTATAGTGTAAAACATGTAGGTAAGCCATAGATTTTAAATATTTTTAAAAGCTGTCTTAATATGGGCTTTGACTATTTAGAAAATAAAGTAATGTGAAATCCCTTTTCCCAAATGAGAATCAGTGAGTCAACAATTTGCAGTTTCCAGAAGGGATATCTCTTTTACATGCTTGAACTACTAAAATAAGCAAATATCTTTGATGGAAAATCTAATGTTACCAAATGTGTTCCAGAAGACTGTTGGTGTTAATACAAAGCACGATTCCTTTAACTTCCATGGTAACTAATTTTATCATTGTTTTTCAGTTGGAGATGGAGAGTATGAAAATGATTTTGCAAGACTTTTCCAGGTCATGAGGTGCTCTCTGAGAAATCTCTTCTGTTCCCTAAAGTAGTAAGTGACTCAACTGAAGTGAAGCAATAATTATTAAATGGATCTCTAGTGGCCTAGAGGTATTAACACATTTTTTTCCTTTGAAGTTATTATGCAACTGAATGACTTTAGAGTGGTAGTTCCCCAAATGTGTGACTTTAGGCACTAGTTTGCCTAAATGCTGCTCTAGGAACTCATTCACTACAAAAATATTTATTGAGCCACTTCTATATGCCCTGGCTGGCACTCTAGGAACAGTGGTGAAGAAGACAGATATATTTACCTGTCCTGATAGAAGTTACAGTTTGGTGAAAACGATAAATTAGTAACAAGTGCAAAAAAGATTTATACAGATTTATTTACACAAAATAAATGTAAGTCGTGATGTAAATAGATTTTGAGATAAACAATAAGAGGAATCTCATTTTAGAGATCCACAATGTATGTTAATAAAGACTCTGAAAATTCCTATAGTAAAAACATTTAACTTAAGCTATTCCCCAAAACCCCAAATTTGTTTTGAACAAATTTGTTTGTAAGCAGCGCTTATAATAAAATAGAATAATTTTTGTGAAATATTGCTTTGTTTTGAAACCAAAGAATTTAATAAACATAAAATTCTGTTAACATCCCCTTACATTTATTTGTCAATGTACATTCATATACTTCAATAGATTTATACATATAAATACAATCTGTTTGAAATAGACTGTGTTTGCACATGTTTATAGCAGCACAATTCACAATTGCAAAAAATATGGAACCAGCCTAAATGCCCATCAACCGAGTGGATAAAGACAATGTAGTATATATACACCACAGAATACTACTCAGCCATAAAAAGGAATGAAATAATGGCATTCTCAGCAACCTGGATGGAATTGGAGAAGATTTTTCTAAGTGAACTAACTCAGAGTGAAAAACCAAACATCATATGTTCTCATTCATAAGCTGGAGCTAAGCTATGAGGATGCAAAGGCATCAGAATGGTATAATGGAGTTTGGAGACTCAAGGGGAAGTGGGGTGAGGGGTAAAATACTACATATTGAGTACAGTGTACACTACTCTGGTGATGGGTACACCAAAATATCAGAAATTACTAGAAAAGAATTTGTCCATGTAACAAAAAACTACGTGTTCCCCAGAAACTATTAAAATAAAAAATGAATTGTTTAAGTATGACAAAAAAAAGAAATACGCTGTCTTTGAACACAAAATGATACAGAAGGATTTATAAATCTATTAAAATGCCCAAATGTACATCTGTACAAAACACATATTTATAATTAACATTATTTCATGAACATATTTCCAGAGATCAATGTGGTCTAAAGTCTTATAATTCTTAATGGCTATATAATTTATATATTAGTATAGACTAGTTTTCTTTTTCTTTTCTTTCTTTCTTTCTTTTTTTCTTTTTTTTTTTTTTTTTTTTTTTTTCTACCTTGGCCTTCCAAAGTGTTAGGATTATAGGTGTGAGCCACCATGCCTGGCCTGATTCATCTTTTTTTTTTTTTTTTTTTTGAGACAGGATCTGAATCTGTAATCCAAGCTAGAGTGCAGTGGCATGATCAAGGCTCACTGCAGCCTCAACCTCTTGAGCTCAAGTGGTTCTCCTGCCTCAGCCTCCCAGAAGCTGGACTATGGGCACACGCCACCATACCTGGATAATTATTTATTACTTGTAGAGAGGGGATCTCCCTAGGTTGCCCAAGCTGATCTTAAACTCCTAGGCTCAAGTGATCTTCCCACATCACCCATCCCCCTCACAAGGTGCTGGGATTACATGTTTGAGCCACTGTGTTTGGCCTAGATTAGTTTTCTGAACCTTAAATTTTAGGAAAGTACATTTTCTGATTCTTTAACTATTATAAGTAACACCACTTTAACCTCCTTGAAAAAATTACTCTTTGGGGTAATAAGTGATGGGAATATTTTCTTGGGATATATTTTTAATTGTGGGTTTCTTTAATTAAAAGAAATTTTATTTTTCTGTTTACATAGTCCCATATTTCTTTCCATAACAATTGAAAAATCATTATAAAAATATGGATGTACTTTTATCTTTTACATTCAGTATCTCATTGACACTGAATTTTATTATTTGTATTTGTTTAAATTGATTAAGGAAGCTTCAAAATGTGTATAATTTCAATATATCCCTAGGAAATAGCAAAAATACCTGGAGGAATTTGACTGGATAGCTTCGGTCATAAATCCGTGGAAGGCGTCAAAGCAATTTCCCTCCCAATGTACCTCTCTGCGAATTCTTCTAAACTAATTTTGTGGTAATTTAAAAAATTTATCTAAAGTTAAAGGAATTTTCAGAAAATTTCAGCTATAAGCATTGGCTCTAGATCTGCAGTTGGTATAGACCTGCAAAGTTGACTGACAACCAGTGTTAGAAAGAGGAACCAAAATTTGAATAGGGGTTCGGTGTAAGGATAGCTGTGTTTGGGGGATCCCCATAGGAAGGGAGAACTTTTCAGGCATTTAAAAGAATATATCATGGCAGACTATCAGCAGGGCTTTGGATTTCTTCATAGCTTTGAAGTTAGCAAGAAAAAATGGAGACAGTCAATCTGACCCATGTGCTTCCAGCATTTGATGATCTGGGCTGAATTCATGGATATTGCCAGCTATAGATTTTAAAATTTTAGAGTTTTTCTGATGATAATCAGACTCTCCTTAAATATAAACATATAATCATGTCCTAGTATCAAAACATGTCTTCATATTGATTTTTAAATCTTCAAACACTGGTCAAGCCCATTCCCTCACTCAGAGCACTCAGCTCCTTCTGTCTGTTGCTAAGGATTTAGTCTTTGCATAGAACAGTGTTTACATTGTAGGTATTCTTGAGGATATTAGAGCTCTCTAGCAAATATTTAAAATGCATATTTTCAAAAAACAAATTATAAAACATTATAATCTTAAACATTTCATCAAATTTGATTCTGGATCTCATGGATGACCACCTTATAACTGAGTACAACCATGCAATTTCAGAGCCTCTGTTTTTTGCATTTATCATTGCACTGGTGTTGTATTAACCTGTCACATCTTAATGAGAGAACTCTTTCAGCTGAATAAAAAGACAAATAACCGAATTACAAAATGGCCAAAGAATTTGAATACAC